AGGATGACCCAAACAACTACCGTCCGGTCAGCCTCACGTCGATACCGGGCAAGATTCTGGAAAAGATTGTTAAGGAAGCGGTCTGCAAACACTTAGAAACAAATGCAGTCATCGCTAATAGTCAACATGGATTTATCAAAAACAAGTCATGCCAGACTAATCTGATCTCTTTTTTCGATAGAGTTACAAGCTGGGTAGATGCGGGGAATGCCGTGGATGTAGCGTACCTGGATTTCAGTAAGGCTTCGACAAGGTCCCCCATGACCTTCTGGCAAGGAAACTAGTCCAATGTGGGCTAGGCAAAACTACGGTGAGGTGGATCTGTAATTGGTTAAGTGGACGAACACAGAGGGTGCTCACTAATGCTTCCTCTTCATCTTGGAAAGAAGTGACAAGTGGAGTGCCGCAGGGTTCCGTCCTGGGCCCGGTCCTGTTCAACATCTTTATTAATGACTTAGATGAAGGGCTAGAAGGCATGATCATCAAGTTTGCAGACGACACCAAATTGGGAGGGATAGCCAATACTCCAGAGGACAGGAGCAGAATTCAAAACGATCTTGACAGATTTGAGAGATGGGCCAAAACTAACAAAATGAAGTTCAACAGTGACAAATGCAAGATACTCCACTTTGGCAGAAAAAATGAAATGCAAAGATACAGAATGGGGGACGCCTGGCTCGAGAGCAGTACGTGTGAAAAAGATCTTGGAGTCCTCGTGGACAACACGTTAAACATGAGCCAACAATGTGATGTGGCAGCAAAAAAAGCCAATGGGATTTTGGCCTGCATCAATAGGAGCATAGTGTCTAGATCTAGGGAAGTAATGCTACCCCTCTATTCTGCTTTGGTTAGACCACAACTGGAATATTGTGTCCAATTCTGGGCACCACAATTCAAGAGAGATATTGACAAGCTGGAATGTGTCCAGAGGAGGGCGACTAAAATGATCAAGGGTCTGGAGAACAAGCCCTATGAGGAGCGGCTTAAAGCTGGGCATGTTTAGCCTGAGGAATAGAAGGCTGAGAGGAGATATGATAGCCATGTATAAATATGTGAGAGGAAGCCACAGGGAGGAGGGAGCAAGCTTGTTTTCTGCGTCCTTGGAGACTAGGACGCGGAACAATGGCTTCAAACTACAAGAGAGGAGATTCCATCTGAACATGAGGAAGAACTTCCTGACTGTGAGAGCCGTTCAGCAGTGGAACTCTCTGCCCCGGAGTGTGGTGGAGGCTCCTTCTTTGGAAGCTTTTAAGCAGAGGCTGGATGGCCATCTGTCAGGGGTGATTGGAATGCAATATTCCTGCTTCTTGGCAGGGGGTTGGACTGGATGGCCCATGAGGTCTCTTCCAACTCTTTGATTCTATGATTCTATGTGTGTGGGGAGTAAATATAGAAACAACTATTCTTTTAAAAATTGTTACTGTAAAACAAAATATTTCATAATCTATTTTTTCAATGTTCAGGTTTTTTTTCAGGAAAAAAAGATGTTGTGAGAGTGAAAGGGGAGTTCTCCCTCATTTTTTTCTTCATCCCCCCCCCCCGGGGATTCATACTTGATATTCTGATGTCCAAGTGAGCAAAGGTAGGATAATAACAACTTACACAAACTCAGTCCACTGAGCTTTAGAACCTAATCATTTCTCTAACTTTCACTCATCTTATCTCCTTTGTATAAAAACATCAATATTTTTTGCATAGAAAAAAATGTATTTTACATAAACAAAATTTGCATAGAATACAGTCTATTTTGCATAATTTTCTGAGGGGGAAATATGGGGTTTTTTTGCACAATATTAAGGTTTATGTACAAAGAAGAGGTAGCTCCACAAATGAATCTTTTGCAAAAAGTCCTGAAATGCAAACATTTTCAAAATAATTTTTAAATGTCTGATTACTTGTTTAATGGGCTTTTTCAAAAGTGTATCTTGAGACATGTAAAGTTTTCTTATATTAATTTGAAAGGAGATTATGCAGAATACTTTGTAAAAGCGAATCAGACCAACACAAGTTCTGTTCAGTTCCTTGAGCTATTTGAGGCCTAACGTCGGCAGCACTCTTCCTGGTGTTTTTGATTGTGGCTTCTGTTCCGTTGATTAATTGATTTATATTATTTTAAAAGTATTATAAATTACTCAATTTTAAAGGGATTCAACTTGCACTGTTGATCTTCTGCTATCAGGCAGGATATAACTATTTAAAAAGATAAAACAAGAAAGGCATTGCATTATTCTCATCAAGACTTTCCTGTGAAACTGATGTATTTTTTGAAAACACAGCTTCATGGGTGAAATAAAGGAAAATTTAAATCTACAGGTATTTCATGCTTGGTCTTTTGATCACACATCTGTATTAGTAAATAAACTGCAAGTCTCTTAGTTAATCACAAGCAAAGCCCTGTGAAGAGCAATCGTATTTGTTTTCCCAATCCTTAGTGATTAAGCTACCTGCTTCTCTCAATGTACTTTCATCCAAATGTTTAAACAATTGGAGCATATAAACGATAGAGCCTATTTCCCATTATAGTATTAACGTAAAGCCAGGCAGCCTTACATTTACCAGGCAAATAATTAGTCACCAAACATATGAAAAAAGGAATCCCATCATCACCTTAAGTCACCTGTCAAACACACATAGCCATTTGTATCTTTTAAGGCATTGCCCGTGTGCTGTGTGGCCCAAGACTTGGTAGTGTTTTCAACATTCTCCTTCCAATCCGGACAAAAAAGAAAGAAAGAAAAAGGAGGGAACAATCGTAGCCCCTGTTATTGCTTTGACTCGAGAGTGCATTTTAAAGAAAGCATTGGAAAATCCTTTCTTGTGGTTGACAGATCAGATTACCACAATTAAAGTCAAAGGTGTGGTGCTATTTAGCCTGCATGTTATGACACATGAAAGAAAATGATTCAGGGAAGAAAAATAATTACACATTAATTTGTGTTTGGCAGCTGTCTTTGGCCCAGAAAGTAGAGATAAAAGGTATTCTTGTTCAGCAGACTCTCTGTTCTTAATAGTCAGTGTTGTAAGACGCTTTCAGAAGAGTGTTGAATGTCCACCATCCTTGTAGCTTTTTATCAGATTCTTCCCCTTATCTAATATTACGTCCTGCTACAGCTAAATCTCAAATTGAGGGGATTTTTTCCAGAATTCAGGCTAACTACTGCAAGCCAGATGGGACAGAAAATTCCCGGCCTCCTCAGATGCAATGCTTGCTTTCATGACAGGGCTTATCACATTATCTCCATGGAAGAGGTAAGCCCAATGCTTACATGGACATTGGTCAGTTTCTCTGGAATTCTGTATTATATAAATTATTAAAGAACTCTCTCCTTATCTTCAAGTAAAGTTTCTGAATTTGCTTGAAAAAATTTGCTGTAATAATTACAAGTATTTCTAATAGACATAATGATGACCACATGAAAATGACCAGAGTGGCCATAAAATACCCATATGGACAAGTATTATAACTCCAGCCTCTGCAAAAGTAAAGTAGTGATTAATACATTTTGAGTACAGACAGGAATTGAAAGGGGTAGGTGGGCAAAATCTTTCTTATTCAACCTTCTATTGAACAGTGAAGAGAATTAACTCATCTGAAATGTGGTGCTGGAAGAAACATGTACAAATATTTGAGCAGTCCAAACCTGGACTCTCCCTAGAAGCCTGAAAAACCAAACAGAGGCTATCATACTTTGGAGACATTATGAGATAATATGACTAATTGGGAAAAGCTCATTAAAAAAAAGATAATGCTCAGCAAAGTGAAAGACAGAAAGAAAAGAGGAAGACTACATTGCAGGTGTACCAGTTCACAGAGCCATGGCTCTAAGTTTGCAAGAACTGGTCTCTTGGAGGTCTCTCATTCATATGTTTATAATGTATTGAAACTGATTTAACAACAATGCATGGGCAGTTTGCAAGGCTAATGAAGCTCAGCAGTTCTCACAGAAGCTGATGCCCATATTGCTATCAGTGGCCATCGTAGACTCTGAACCAAATACACAGCTGTGTTGGCCTGTACCAGTGCACAAAGGGATCTTTGGCGCCTTTGAAATTGAAACGTTTATAGAATAAGCTTTTGTAGACTGGGTCTAGTTCATCAACTGGATCCTCAGTTCTGGTCTTACTTACCCCACTCTTCTTAGGCCCTCCTAATCTTCATGATACTTTGTGCTTCCTACATGATTTTTATCCATAATTATCAATATCTGGGCATATTTTGGAACAGCAAGTGGTGTTGCAGAGCCCATAGCACCACTATCATAACCACACATCTAATTTTAACTACATAAAATTACACACAAGTTATATGAACAACAAAATAAAAATCAACACACAAAACACATTTGACATTTCTACCTGACTTTTCTCATACCCTACCCCATATTCTAAATACTACTAATACCACTTCAACACTTAGCTGAACAAACACGGGTTTAATATAACTTTCAGTATGCCAGATTCTGATTATAGTTTTTGAACTAATTCTAACTTCTTTATAACAATTCTAGTAACAATCACACTATATTCCACTTTAAGTATTATTTCTACATGTAATGCAATTCTCCTTATTCTTAAAATCATCAAATAAACAATCACTAAGCTCAATTCTTCCTTAAATCTTTCCACTTTTCTCTAATCAAAATGATTAATTTGTCAATTTTTGCATGGTTTTGGATTTTCATAACCCGCTTCATCTACCTTGATATCTCAAATTCTTCCCATTTTTGTGCACACAACAGTGTCATTGCTGTTGTCATATATTTCTTCTTCAACTTTTTCTCCAATAGTCAAAGAAGAAAAAAAAAATCTAATTTCAACTGTAATTTTCTCTTTAAAATCTTCTAAATTTCATTGTGTATCTGCTCTACAGATGCAGCTAATGAAGTAGTCCCAGCATATACGTACTACAAAACCCATTTTTCAGTTAATTTCAAAGATCCTTCAAGATCCCTTCACATATAATATCAAAAGATTATATAAGTGAAGATTTATCACATTACCATCAACTCAACAGGCTCCTGCTAGTTGGGATTAACAGTTGTCTTGGTTTCCTTGCAAGAGATATAGTCTTGGTTTCCTTGCAAGAGATATAGTCTTGGTTTCCTTGCAAGAGCTCTATCTGTTATCTACTTTAATTGTAAAAACTGGAAGGGGTGAGGGGACAGGAGAGAAAATGAACCACAACTGTCCACTGAGTGACATCTTGCTGAAGGAGAGAGGGAGTGCCAGAGACACTATCCTGTCGCTACTAAGGTCATCAGCTCCCCCTCCTGTTCAGCCGGGTGAAATGGTTGAGCCCTCTGGGGGATGGGGAATACACCCAGTTTGGGGGAAAACCCAGAAGATTTATTCTCACCAACGAAGACAGATGTAGATACAGATAAGATACAGATAATGATATTGGAGTGTACATGTGATTGTGTAAGATCAAGGAGCTGCCTGTCTTCAAAGGATATCAACAGAAGGCATACAAGGAACACTTTCCCATGAAAGAAAATAAATACTAAGCACTGATTATGCCTGACATAAGTGATAAGGATTAAGCAAAGACAATTTTAATATTAAAGTTACTCTTAATGAGCCCATATTTTAATGCAATCTCTTGAATTTAGAATTTCAATTCTAAACTGAGCATAATTTTCATCTTGATGGTATAGAAAAATAAGTCAAAAAGGGAAAGTGGCACAGAAGCTGATATAGATAATATACTATGCATAAAGGGGAAAGTAAACAAAACTTGCAGAGAGTCACATGGGACAAAACACGAGTGGATGAACTGTAGCTTTGGAGATACATGAGCCCTTATGTTGTTTCTGGAAACATTGTTTCCCACCCCTCCAGGCAGCCCTTTATTTAGATAAGATCCTATGGAATCCTGAGATTTGCAGTGTAAGGGGGAGCAGTCAAGGTTTTCTGCCAGAGAGCTCTTCTAGCACATTTGACCATAAATCTTATCATGGCATACCTGGGGAGGGAAAAGCTGCTTTGCTTGCATCATTAGTCACTCCTGGCTGTAGCAACACATGAGTTTCCCTTCATCCTTCCATTCACTCTTCCTGCCTCATCTTTTTGACCAGAGGTTTGATTAGTGGTTTCTGGCAGGCAACGTATTCTCCATGACACTTTCCATGCTACTTATATGCCAAGCCTACATTTCCTGAAGAGAAGGCCTTTAGAAGTGAAGATGGAAAAGGCAAGTTCTCTGTCTTGCTGGACGTGAAGATTCTTGTTCCAGAACAGTTGAATATGAAGGTGGTGGGTAACTATTTTGAAGTCCATTCTAAGCATGAGGACTACATCAAATTGCTGGTTAGTCCTGCAACAATTGCCCACCTGTTCATGTAAATGAATAACACACTAAAAAAATGAACTAAAGAAACCAAAGCAAAACCATATTAAGCAGCTTTACTTATAAATATGAAAGGTGTTTATAATATTTGATGGTGAGAGACTACATCATACTTTCTTCAAACTCCACACAACAAAATGGAGGGCCAGCAAACTAACTATATTTTAATTGATGAGAGAGAATTTGCTCAAATTCTTAGAGGCATGAAGACTAGCAGCTACCAAGTATAATCATATTAAGCTTGGTGCCTCTAACAAACTTAACAAATATATACTGCCTTTCCTCTTTAGAGTTCAACGTACCTTGGTGTGGCTGCTAACAATTAACACTTCAGCCCAGATGGGCTGTTATATATTTCTTACCAATATGCTGTGGAGTGAGGGGAGAACATGTTCATATTGTGATTGGTTTCTTAATTATGCTGTATAATGACAGAGCTTATTTATTTGCTTAAATTAATATTTTTGAACTATATGTTCTGATATTTAAGGAGCACCTGAAGTAATATATGATTAAGTAATATTACTACATTATTAAATGCAATAAGAGGGTAAAACTCTCCTTTACTAAATGTAAGATTACTTCCAAAATCCAATTGCTAGATCTCCTGATTACAGACCCATTTAATCAATGAGATTTACCTAAGTGTTGGTTCGTGATTCAACAGTTGATTCAGTGTCTCTACTCTTTTTAGGAATAGTAATTTCATTTAAGTTTGTGTATATTAAAACTACCAAAACATATTTTGAAACCGTGTCTGAAATTATACTTAAAGTAGACAAGTGAAATCAGGGCATCTTAAATTAATAATGACTACTTGCAGTGCCATGGATTTCACTGGATCCATCAAGACACAACTAAGGAGCAGATATGAGCCCTGGAATTAGATATAAATCTGAAATACAAGCAACTGTGGCACTGATTTTGTATTCCTAACCATTTTAACTGTGAATTTCCTGACCTATATTAATGTTAATTCATAGTTTGACAATATGCCTGCCACCATGAGCAGTGATCACTCTAGTTTTGATACCCCACAAAAGTCAAATTTCCAAACTATACTGGTTCACCAACTCACTCATGGAAAAGAGGAAGAAAGAATGACAAAAAAGAAATCAGATGATCCCAGGCCAAATGTACCTCTTTCAGATGAGTAAGTAAATAAATTATCTCTGGGATGTGTTCCAAATTCTGATAATCTGTCTGTAATTTGAGAGTAGATTAATTTTGCTTCTAAGTGGTGTTATTGTTGATTTTATATTGAAAGAGTCTCTCAACAATGGCAGAAAACATTCAAAGAACTTGCACTAATTCAATGCATTGTAGCACAACCAAAATTCAGCAAACTTGAACAAATCCTTTGACACACGAACAATTCTTGCTTTATAATTCCTCCCCCCACCCTACATGTCATAGTATAGTTTTTAGAGTGCTTTGGGAGTGGCCTCAAAAACAGGCTTGGGGAAGTCACATGGAATATCAGGACCATCTCTGAACTAAGACATGCATAACGGTTACTAAACCACACTGTCTCAGGAAGAGCTATACATAGATTCTGAGATCCTATATGAGCTGATTGTAGCACAACAGTTTCTTATGTGGAATGCTCCTTTGACTCTTATGCCACCAGCACACCCATCTCCCTCTCCTAGGTGATGTATGGTAATCTTACTGCAACTTTTTCCAAGTGGGCCTGAGCGCCTTAGAGGTTTATAAATGAATAAGATAGTTTTTAAAATCTTACAATAACTTTCATGAAGGAAATGAATGGAGCATATCCACTGTAGTCCTAGAGCCAAAAAATACTTTAGGATTAAAACAGAAGAAAAGAAATGGAAACACATGAAACAATCTGAAAGTTGAAAGCGAGTAAAAATAAATGAAAGGAAAGTATTTTTCCAGTTTATTGAATGCTTTACATTATTGGTTTAGCCTAAAAGCAGGAAAACAGATGAGGATGGTTTTTACTCTAATTTGTTCATTAATTTAAGGCTTGTAAAAGTGAGGAAGTAATAAATGTTTTGGCTACAGTGAAGCATGAAGTGAGGAGTTGTATGGTATAATTTTAGATTCCTAGAAAATAGTCTGTAGACCATGTTGCAATTGTATTCTTGAAGCTCAAGCTTGAGAGAGTTCTTTTTAGAGACTACAGTTCCCAGAAGTTACCTCTGCCATAAATTCATATGAGGTACATACTATTTACATTGAATCTATCTCTCATCTGATCTCATCTTATTTAAAAAAATATTTTAACCATTCATTACTTGGGAGTAGGGAACCTCTACTTAGAAGAAAAACCTGGGCTGCTTCCAGATGTCGCATCCTCACATTAACTGTATCTGCCAAAATCCTAGATTCGTTGGAATCGAATAGCTTTTAATACATGTATCAAGTATTCAATAGGAATGCACAAGTATTCAGGAATGGACAATCCAGTAGGAAGGGACAGTGGTGGGAATGGGACATGGGTATTTTTTCCTTTGTATTTTCTTGTGTACAGTATGATCCCTGTATCCATATGACGGGTACCCATGATTTCACTTACCTATGTCAGAAATAAAATGAAATAAGTGTTCTCTTTATGCTTTTTCTAGGTCCTAAAGCATGAGTCTATGGTGTGCTTTTGACAGAAGCTGACCATAGATCCTCAGTAGGGAACCTAGAATTTCTAGAAAGATGTTCTCTCTAAGCATTTTTAGATCCTCTAGTGCAATTCTATGGTACGATTTTGTCAGAAGTAGTTAATTTCACTTGAGTTTGCCGTAATTTCTGGGTTCACATTTTTAAGATAAATCTTATTAAATAAGACAGTCAAAAACCTTTTTAAAGAATAATACAACTATCAATAACCACTGTAGATTATATTTGCTTTCTAGTACCAATTGTTGCGTCTCAGGTTAAGCTTCACCTTGCTCTCTGACAAACCAGCCAAACTTGAGAAGAAAGAAGTTTATTGAAGTTTCAAACAAATCCAAGTAAAAGCAGTAAAAGTTCAATAGTACAAAGTATAGGTCCCATAAGTTCTGTTGATTCAAAGCAGGAAACTTGAGGCAAAGAAGCAGGATACAATCCAGGCAATAGCATGAAGTTACAGGAAGCAAACGAACCCCAAGGCCCAAGCCCTAGAGCCAAAGGTACAGCAATCCATATTGCAAAGTTGGATCTGACACTGAATCAGCTTTCAAGCAGTCTTCTTATAGGAAAATCATCCAAAAATTGAACATTAAACAGAACAGCTAACGAGCAGTTTTCCCACCAGCAGATGGCCTCAAGATTTGGCCGCAATCCGTAAACTTCTCCTTAACACCTGCAGCTCGCGCTGACCTTCACCGAGTGTGTTATCAGCCACATTCCTTTCCCTTGAGAACAAGGGATTCTCTCTAGCTACAGACTGTGGCTGAGAAAACTGAGAAATCTGAAATCCCACATTCCCATTCCCATCATGCCCACTTGCACTCTCAGTCCCATCATGTCCATCATGCTGTTGCTGAACCACAACACCAATCTAGTATTTTGTGTTGGTTGTGCAATTGCTCCAAACAGAGTACCAAATACATTAAGTAACCAACAATGCATGCCACATTTGACCATTCCCCACAAAGTATTCCATATCATTCATTCCTTATTTGAAATGTTGTCATGTTCAAATCAAGTTTTAGTTTTAAATGTAGTACAGTTCTTTCATCTCTTAAATGGATCTTGAAAGATGAAAAACTGGATCATTTTGTGGC